AGTCCTTTATGCCGCAGGCGCAATCAAGTCTTGAGCCAACATAAGTTGGCATGTCATGACTCACCAAAGTGATCACAGGAAAGTGTATTTTAACACATACATACATACATACGTACGTACGTACGTACGTACGTACGTACATAGATAGATGCTGCCTCCATTTTTTTGCAGTTCGGCCGTGACAAAGGCCCGACTATGTCATGCATGCGAATCAAGTCCCATCTTGCAACCTGCCGCAGCCCTCATGTAATCTCGTGTATCTACTTTCTGTATGAGTCCGGCGATACATGAGTACAGCAGTCAGGTCAAAGACTCTGTAAGTTTACCAGCTCTGGACCACGTTGTGATCAGTGTTTTTTCTAAAAATCCAGACATCTTCACAACTAAACGTGAGTTTTGTTTGAAACTCATTAGTCTCTGCTGTGGAATTATATATATATATATTCACATATATATCTCAAACTGAAGAGTCTCAAAACCTCGAATTAGAACTGAAACATCATCTATCCAAGTGGGATATGAAAGTCAACGCTCTCCAAGCAGCCATATTGCCTTTTATTGTGTTCCACTCAGTATTGCTATTGCCAGATCAAGGGTTCATATGAGTGCTTGAAACTCTTCAATTCGGTTCTTTTACACGTGCTTTCTCATATGCAGGACGCGCCAAGAAGTGATGGGCTTCTACTGGCACATGCTTTTCACGTAGATAAATTTGATTTGAAAAGACCTCCAGGAACTTGTCGAAACTGATTTGGAGCCGAATGGTCTTGCAATCCAGATGCTGTGGGCTTGTCCCAAGCTAGATGAAAAAGATGGTATTGCAAATGGGAACACCATTGTCCGCATTGGAGAGTATGATTGTCTCGCCCATTTGGGTATGTCATTTTGTCAGAAAAGGAGTCAATCTGTTCTAAGCACCACCAAAGCACTACTTCAGAAGAGTAGTTTGGACGTCGATTATTTCGCGAAAAGGTTTAGATGAAAATCAGGATGCTCCAGGAGTCGGCAAGCCTTTATTTGAACTGGGTTATATGGATTTATTTGGGGTTATATGCGGTTATTTAGGGTTTTGTAGGGTTATACGGGGTTATACGGGGTTATATAGGGTTATGTGGGGTTTTGTAGGGGGTTTTGTGTAATGGGAAGAATTTGACACTCAAGGATCTCCAGGACCTGTTTTTGTTTCAGTTCTATTGCTTTTCATCGGGATGCATGCTAGATGTATGTGATCGGCAGTACGCAGGTGCTTGTTGGACAGTGCAACGCGATTGCAATTTTCCAAGAATGCTATGCTGTCCCAAGAAGCCCAAATCTTTTTCGAACATCTTGCTGACTTTTAGGCCTCAACAATTGCTACATGATACCTTTGGACCAGAAAAGGGACAATAGCGCACTGTTGCTAGTGTTCTTGCAGCACCGTGCCAAGCAACCAATTCGGAAGAGCAGAGGTCTTGTAATGTGACCAACGGCCACGATGATCCCAAGTAAGTCTTGTTTGCGTTTGTGTTGCACAAGAGGATCGGGACAGCACTACACTTTTGCTAGGTTTTGTCAACATTGCTCAATGTAGTGTCCTCAGCACCAATCTGGAAGAGCAATAATACTGTACTGTGAAGAAAACAAAAAGACGACCACAATTGCGAGGGTATCACACTTTTGAGTTTGCTTGCTTGCGCAGAAGATTGGGACAATACCATGTGTTTGCTAGCTTGTTTGCAGCAGTGCGGTACTGAACTGTGCACAAGAATCAACGTGGGAGAGCAAACATGCTGTAATTTGCCAAAAAGTAGCAACAAACTAATTCACACAGAGTTGCTTGGCAGAAAGCAGACAAAATGCCGTACTGCCTCGATCTGTCGTGGCCCGCAGTCTCCCTGATGTTTTGGGGGTCTTTTGCACAGTGTTCCACTTACTTTTACTATTGGGCACGGGTCGATTGGAACAGTGAAGCACTTTTGTGTCCAGACAAACTGTTTCCAGCAATCTCGAGGAGCTTGCTAACAGGTTCATTCAAAACATGTGTACTTGCGTTCGGATGCGGCATATGAAGAAAGTGGACCGCTAGAACCCTGCCCCCCTCGGTGACAAAGTCGCTCGCTCGCTGTGTTGAGCTTTGTGCTCAATCAACAACAAACTTCAGGCATCTCGATGGGAGGGATCCCATTTTTATACACAAGCAAATATGGATACAACAATAACTAAATCAGAAAGCTTTCATGTATGTATATACATAGATGGTCTTGGACCTGGTCCTCTCTGATTTTTCTTTGAGGTGGAGAGCTTTATTGGTATGATGGAGAAGTACTCTACGCCCAAGGTGTGGGACGAGAACTTCTTGCTTCTGCAGCTTTTGATGCTCTTCATTTTGTTGATGTTTTGCGACGTGCCTTGCGTCCAGGGCATCAACGACTTGGAAGCAAAGGTTGAGGAGTTTCTCACAACAGCTATCGAGGACATTGCCAGTGACTGCCAGTGCAACTTCCAGTGCGAGACATTCGACACGAAACATGCTGTTTCACCAATTGACGTTGCGAAGCACACTGTGCTGATGCAAGCGACCATGACAAACGGGCTCAACCCGAGCAGCCACGCTTCCATGTGGAATTATGAAAACAGAGCAGGAGTGTTCAACGATTGAATCTTGATCTCCCATTTTGTGTCTGAAGCCACAACATCATGCATCCTTGAATTTTTTCATGCGGTGATCGCAGTTTGACTGCTTGCGCTCAAACTCCCATGAACTTGATTCCGGTTATTTGGTTGGTGCCTGGTTCCAAACCTATGAGATGCAAACTTGAGTCCAATAACCCGCATCCGAAACCTAAACTGATCCGAATTTAGGCTTCCATGGAGGCAAGGCAAGCCCAGGCCCAGGCTACAGCAAGAAAGTCGAGCACTTCGTGTTCAAGCACAGAAGATGAAGCACTTCTGCAGAAGCTCTTTATGCTGGACATAGGCGTTTGTCGAACCATTTGCAAGACCATTTGCAAGACTCGAATGTAGCAAGATAATCCCAACCCCTTTGCAGGAGCTTGACTACAGAAATTTTGATGTGTGAATAGAGCTGCTGTTCTGACATGGTGCAAGCATTAAAAAAAAAGATGGGACCGCAACTCCAGGCTCATTATTGAATTTCTATTTCATGTTGCAGTATTGATTTCGTTTATCATCCCCGGACAGTGCTCGTAAGCGGAAAACACATGCGTAATGCAATTGTGATTTCCCTTGGAGCCGCTGCGCCAATTTCAAGTGATGTATCAGTCGCCAAGGGTGGCATCCAGTTCCGTTTTCATCTGCATTAATCTGGGATTTCGACCATGCACGCTACGCAAGCAGCAGCGTAAGCAAGAGGTATGCCCCAGTAACTCTCCCTCCTCCCTCACCTTCTTTGTCTATTTCTTTTTAACTTTTTTTGCTCCACGTATTTTGTTTTTTGGGTGGCTTTTGGATATACATGGAGAGAGGACGTTCGAAAGACGGTGGAATCCAGGCTGGTCGGCCTCATCAACAAGCTTCTCCTCTGCAAGACCTTCTCCTTTGTTTTTTGATGCGGTCAGTGTTTTTGGACAGCATTGCAATAGTCTATGTAAGGTCCGCGCCTCAGCTTGAGTCCGCCCTCCATTCTGCTGCCCACAATGCCGGCCAGCGCCTGGGAGAGATGTGCGCCCCCCGGATCGTTGACGACCTTTTTTCCTCGAAGCGTTTTCTGCGGCAAGGATTGGCAGCGTGATTTCTAGTCCGTTAGCTCAGTCACTGGAGAAGCCTCTAGAGGAGCTTTGAGCTGCACTGACGTGTACATCTACATCACAGGGTGTGCCCAGAGACAGGACATTCTAGCTGAAGCTGTTGGAAGCAACACAACAGCAGCGAAGGTAGGGGGAAGCGCAGAACTTTCGAGCGTTTGGTACACAATCTCTGCCCTGTGGCAGATTGGCGAGTCTCTGAGCAACGCGTTGGGTGGTGAGATCAGCAATCTCACAGCATCTGCCCTTGGTGATAAGCTTGGTGGGGCTCCTAGCATATTGACTCAATGTTGACCACTTCCTGCACAGCCAGCCCGCAGCGGTCCTGCGACAGATTGCCAGGCGATGCCCTGGAAGGGCTTCTGGACAAGGCACTCGACAAGGCATCGGACCTGGCCAGCGAAGGCCTGCGCTGTGGTCGTGCTGTCGTTGTGCCACTGTGGCACCTTGCCGCGCGTTGCGTGCGTTACACATTGTCATCCAGGTCTGGACACCCTGACAGGTAAGCTGAATCCCAAGGCCGGATCTGTGCCTGACACTTGCACAGAATCGCCTGTTCCTGTCAGATCTGTCAGGTAAGCCTGCTGTCCATGGTTCCTTGGTTTGTGATTGGAACTTAGCCGGGGGAGAACACTTGACCTGTTGTGCCTCAGCCAAGGACTCAGAGATCGACCGCCTTTTCAACCAGCGCAAGCATCGGGTGCTGGAACAGGAGTGTGCATAGTGTGCGGCGGTGCAGAATGGCGTGCTATCTTGCGGAGCCTGGCCGTTTTGCTCGGAAGGACTCCCTGCACGATGCCGGAGTCTCCGACACGATTTCCCACACGTGGCAAGGTGCCGTGCAGAAAGATGCAGTAAGTGAGGTGTTCTTGATGGCCCTGGTGGCTGCAAGGCATGGTGAACTTGCTGCGCACCTTCTCCAACCTTCTCCCCACCGCGGTCAGCACCCTGAAGGATGCCAGAAGCGAGGCATGGAGCATGAGGTTGCCCTTGTCATGGTTTCAACCTTTTCCGAAGCCAGGTGTCAAAGCTCAGCTCCAACCTGGATTCCATTTTTACTGTTTTCGAGGACGGGCTTTTCTGAGAAGGCGTCATCTGTTTTCTTGGTTTCTCTTGATTTCTTCGCTCGAGGCCAAAGGTCCGCAAATCTTCAACACCGTCGCAAACCTTTGGGTGACCATTTGGGTCTTTTACTTCCTGCGCCTCGCCTCAGATTGTCACAGCCAGACTCTATTTGGATGTCTTCAACCCTGCCCGCTTCCGCCTAAAACGGATAATGCAAAATTCGACACCGCGGCCTCTTAGACACCACATCCATAAACGCCAAACATTCCATGAAGCCGGTGGTCAAATTAGCGGGTTTAGGAAGCCATTCTTCCCTTCTTATTACTTCGCAACTCCTCGTAATTATCCACAAGCAGTCCAAACAAGTTTATTTGTGCGACACCGAGCTTTTTTATCCGCATTGGCTTTTGCGAGACGAGCGCCTTTGAAACCCTCCGTGGGCAATTGTCCTTGCCTCTTGCACTTGAGCCACACACGCACATCCGAACAACGAGCAACCACATTGCATTCCACGTTACTCTGCCTCAAAGACGTGGAAGGGGCGTAGCCGTAGCCTGCACGGCCTTGCATGGTGTTGTTAGGTCCCTGATGTAGGTGCAAGCTCGTGCTTCGTGCAACTGAGCACTCAACAGCAGTGTCTTCAGTTGATGCAGATATTCATTCCTTCCTAAAGCAAGATGTCGTGCTACATTGTTCGAAGCTTCTCAAAGGGCGGGGTTGCAAAGGGCTACTACATCACGGCGCAACAAAAGATTTGGCGAAAAAAAGTAAGGGAACGGAACACTGCTTGATTGAGCTCTAGAAGATTCGTCTCCAGCAGTGTGTCCATGTGCCCATGCCCATAGCATGTCACAGAATCATGGCCGAGCGCAATCTCAAACACTGTGGCGCTTTACTATACTCTGTGCAGGCGAGGAGCAGTCAGAAGGAGCGAAAACCCTGCGCATGCTGTCATCTCCCAGGGTCAATACCAGCACATCCAAGGGAGAAGTGGACTTGTCACTTCCCGTCAGGTGCCTTCTTGTGAGCTAAAGCATGAAGTAGTGGCGAACATATTGCTGAAGCTGGTCGAATTTCACATACTTCAGCACATACATGGCTTTCAAGTTCTGCGCCGTTCCTTGTAGCAGTCTGAAATTCTGCTGGCCGCTTCAGCCCAGGCAACTGCAAAAAGGACGACCCCCTTGGCGATCCGAAAAAACACGCACAGCAGTTGTGCAGCTGGAAATATTGTGACTCTTTTTCAGAATGCTCGAACGTAACCATTGGCCGAACATCATCGCGATGTGCTCTGACCCTCACGGCATTCAGGGCTGCTACTTCAGAATGTTTCAAAAATGTCGTTGCTCTAAAGCATACAACTTCCAAGCCGCAGTCCGCCAAGTCTTGCGGGTCTGAGTCTAATGCATTGAAGATTTTCATATATGGAGATTCGTAAAGTTAGACAGGACACGACTGGAAGATATGAAAACCACTAAAGCTACCAAGGCAAATGTGCCTCAATGAAGATGACAAGCAACCAACTGTCAAACACCACAACCTAAACGTCACACCTGAGGCCTAGCAGAGGTCGTTGCGTGCAGCCGAAGACTTGCATTCTTTCCTCAAGGGTAAGTAGAAACCTGGCATGTCTGCAGCTGCCAGTACAAACAGTTCTACTTTAGTACTGAGGTTTTATGGAAAGGCTTAAGAGCCTTCAGTTGCCTGTAGCCATCAGCTCACGGCGGTAAATTGAGCCCCTTCTGAAGTGCAGATTTTATTCCCTCCCTAGCCTGTTTTCTCTTGTTTGTGTTTGAATTTCCTGATGAAAGGCAGGTAGGGATTGCTCCAAAACCAGTGGTATGGGCCTATATATTGGGGTTCCTATTGCAGTGAGCGCCCCTATTTAGAATTGGAAGCAGTAATTGTAAGCGCTAGCTCGCGTCCGCCTCGGCAGCCTGGCTGCAAGACATTGCAAAGCAATTATGTCTGTCGAGGCTTGGGGCGGGGCAGGCGGCTGGGGGCGTGCCCTGGGGGGAGCGGCTGGGAGGCAGGGGGGTGAGGCGGGGGGGCTAAGAAGGATCAAGTACTTTCATTTGGCAAAGCCCACACTTGGGTCAAAGGATCGAAGGATCGAAGGTGAAGGTTGTGCACATCTTGTGAGATTTTTGTTTTTGGTTCGCAGTGTTGCTTTACTTTGAGCTCAGCCTGCTTTTCGCCCTTGGGGAGAAAATAGGGATGATGGAAAAGAAAATGGAAACTACAAAAGTATCATGGGGTATATATTGGGGTATAGTATATATTGGGATTGTAAACTGGCGTTATATAGAGATCATGGAAAAAAACATGAAAACTACTATTTAAGGTTTATGCAGGCGTTTTGGAATAAAAAAAGCCCTCTCCGGTCCACGAACTGCTTTGGTTCTTCGGCTTTTCCACATTGGCACTGCTGGAAGGTTCATTTTGCCCTTCTGCGCTTTCACGCTTTACTATGGCTTGTGGGCCAATGGCTGGTGAGCTTGGCAGACACTTGGGGGGAACCTCTCGCAGGTATGCGCGTGAAAGCCTGAGGTTCGGAGGACCGAAGCCAATTCTGCAGGAAGAAGCTCAGGCTGACAGCTTGCTGTCAAGCTGTCAGTTGCGTGAAAAGCCTTGCTCCGCATGTCTCGCAGGGGGAACAAACTTTCTGGCAGCGATTGTCCTTGTTGTGCTCCAAGTGCTGTACATGCTGTGTGAAGCTCAGAGCCTGAGCGCACTGCTGCGTGGAAGGCAGTAGTGCTGGGCTGGATCCTAGGCAGGAACTTTCACGACACCGACCTCTGCTTTTGGTCTATCATTATCTTCATGCAAGTTATTGCCAGCGGCTTACTCTACCGTGTCCCATCCCGGGTAAGTGCAACGAGCCACAACCGATCTTGGAGCTGCTGTTTCTCAAGGTCTTGGTGACGTTCCTGATTTCGGTCGTGATGGCAATCTTCGCTGGTGTGAAGGCGATGATCGTGGCAGGCTGCGGCCAGGTCTACGTTCTTGAGGCTGGCTAGCAACCATAATCCCTAACCAGCATCAGAAACGTCCTGCAATCTGTTCTCATGAGGATCCTGATGTCTGCGAGAGCGCTCTCACGACTCTCAGGAGTTGTTAGATCTCTTCCTTTCAGCCTGTCTATCTTGTTCTTTCAGCCTTCGCGTGTTTCTCACATGACTGGGCAGGGTGGCCCAGGGGATTATAATTGCTTGATTTGAAGGATTGCCCTTTTGGGGGGTGTCCTCACCTAGTAATCTAGTAGGTCAGTTTCAGTTGGCGCATTTTGATCTGATCTGCAAGGGTAGGTCACGGGTTGTTGCTGTGCGCAGTCCCCGGGCCCTCGGCAATGCTTCTGCGGAGTCTTGGAGGACTTTTCTCACCAAGATGAGTGTGGGCCAAGCGCCCATTCTTCGGAGACTGCAGAAGTGCATACGTCTTGGGAAAAAGATGTGTTTTATCGTACACCTAGGAAACAGCACCATCTACACCGACGAGGACATTCATGGTATCTGTGATGAGAACCTCTTGCTCACCTGTGAGATGGTGACTGCAACGTTAACAAAGCAGCTGGGATCAAGCTGGGAGATTGCGTGACGGTACGCTGCATTGCTGCATGCCGGGATTCAGATGCAAGGTCGACAATTGCCACGACTGTCTGCGCCCCATGTCCCTATGTCCGCCAATTCTTCCACAGAACGCAAGCGACCTCGAATCGCAGGTCTTCAGCTTCCTGGCATCCATTTTCTCCCTGCAGATGCTCTTCGATGCTGCAACACTGCACGAGCAGGCCTGAAGCTAATGCGGACAAAGTTCCGAGAACCAATCGGCATCTTCAGGCTGTATGGCGAAGAAAAGCTGCTGCCGCCAAAGCAGGGCGCCTGGTAAGACAAGCAAGAAATTTAAAAGAGCTGTTCTCAGATTTATCAGGAAGGCAAGGAGGACTGAGAGCAGAAGTACCGTGTCTCACTCTCTGTCTCACATTGTCTCCGACATTGGCTCAGCACCCGATCGCAAAACCGTGCTTGGAAGCTTCAGTGAGCCTGTCTGTGAGTCATGGAACACTGATATCCTTTAGTGTAGCACGCTGGGACCCATGTTCTGTTTTCTTTTTCCGGCGATTTCGACACCTCGAATTCGCCAGAAGTTTTGGGGGTTCTAGATTCCTTGAGCAGCGACGACGACCCCCAAACCGTGGTCACAGCTGGCCATCAGCATGCTGCGCCAGATGGAGTGTGCAACTGTGCGACAGGACTGGCGCAGCATCAAAAACATGTGCACTCAGTTGCCAGCTGCAGTTCTCTGCACCTTGGGCGAGATCAAAGACCAAAGGTTGGATTTGGGTACGAAGGCCTACCGTTCTGAACACCTGCCCAGACGAGATGATGGATGCGGTGCTGCGCTTCTATCACAGCCCCAAACCAAAGCAGCTCATGCCTCTCACCAATATGCTGCAGAAGCATCTGTGGCTGTGGTGCTCAGCTGCATTCGCCTGCTAGTTTTCCAAGCCCTCTCAGCCGAAAGTGTGTGCTTGCAATTGCCTGAAGAAGCTGGACAGACAGCAGGACACGAGATCTGTATTTGGGGGGCGACAGCAGGACGCTCAAGACAGAGGCTGCTGGCCCTTGCCGCTGAAAGCCGAGCGGGGCAAGCTGGCTGCAACAGGCTTTGCGCATTTTACGCCTCTCGCGCGGAAACGTGGTTTTGGGGTTTTATGATTCGCCAAGCAGTTCAGCGGCTTCAGCAGAGCAGGCACTTGGGCAAATGTCACCCTCGGACTCCTGGCGGATTGGGGCCCTGGCACATAATCCGAGCAGCGCGATACAAATCCCTGAAGAGTAGTTGCGTCTAAGCCTTGAAAAGGGGTCACTGTAACTAAGCCCAACGTTTCCAGCAGTCAGTCCTTTGGATTTGCGCTGGCTATCGCCTAGGAGGTGGCCCCTGGGTAAGACTGGGGCGTCGCACTGGGTCCGCTCTGCCTTTTTTCTGATAGTCAGAGCCTTGAGGATTTGGCCTCTTCTTTTAACTGAGGTCGTGCAGAGCATGACCTGGCTCAGTCTCCTGCTTCAAGTCTGAGAGCTTGGACTTTAATCCTGCTTTTTTGTGTTGGTGCCACAGCTTCTGGAACTCCTGGAACGTGGATCGAGGCGTTGCCCCGGACATTCACGCCCCTTCTTCAATTTTTTGCCGATGAGTTTTGCTGAATGCGGAGGATTTGCATCTGGTGGCCTCAGATGAGCTGCTTTTTCCAATCCCTGCCGCCAGGGATACGGCTGGCTGTAGGGAGATCATCGAAGCTGAAACCTTCGTAGCAACCCTCTCTGTGCCACCTCCACTTGGACGAGTCAAGCCGATTTTGTGCGCCACCACAGGTAGGGTAGGGTGCCTCTGTATAGCTGGTGCTACCGGCACCTTTCTCATCAGATTCTCTGAGGGTGCTGTTCTCACAGCAGAAGTTGTTGGATGTCACCCGTCAGTTTGGAACTGCTGTGTGCGCGCTGTCCCCCATACAAACGTTCACTTGAGTAAGCTGACTACATTGACGAGACTTGCAAATAACACGGACGTATGCATCTGTCTAGCAGCTAGCACTGGTAATCCTAACAGTAGCAGTCATAGTAACAGGGTCTACGTCTGGACAGGATTTGCTGAAACCGCCTGCGGGCTTTCGTCTTCCACTACAAATGTCCACAGAGGAATGAGGATTGAATTTCAGAATCCAACCACAGTGACACACTCT